CCCATTTGGCTTGTACAGAGGTTTAGTGGATCTTAGAAACTGTAGACTATCATAAAGCTAATCATTGAGCAACTCCAAATGTGGCTGCTAACCCAACTGTAGTGCCTTTATCAAATTACACAACCCCTGGAATTTTGTATGTAATTATGGGTTTGACTAATAACCTTTTTCTCTATGCTAACTTAAAAGGACCACCAACAGCAATTTGTACACCTTCACAGGCTTGCCTGAGGGCTAGGTCAGTTCTCCAGTTCTCGAGATCTTAATCACCCTAACATCCCACCAATTTTCACAGTGTCTCACTGTGTGAATGATGTCATCTTGATTGGATCTGATAAGCAGAGAATAGCAAGTCCTTTAGATGTCTGGTAAAGCACCTGAGAACTAGAGGGTGATAGATTATTCCCACAAAAATTTAGAGGCATAGCATTTCACTAACATTTCTAGGCATTCAGTGGTCACTATACCTGATAGGTCTTTTATGGATTTTGGAAAGATCATAGACCACATTTGAATATGTTACTTCATCACCTACCTACAGAGAACTCATTAGGCTTCCAGTTTCAAATTATGATCAGAGCAAAAGAAAGCTAGACAGAAAGTCCAGTACACAGTGCAAGCTATACCACCACTTTGGCTTTTGAGGCTAACCCATCCAAGATTCTCTTAGTCTCTGAAGCAAATAGGCACGCTGGGTGGAATGGAGGCTTTGGAGAGCACCAAGACCAGCATCAGAGTAAACATCTGTAGGATTCTGAAGCAAACATATTTCATCTCCAGATAAATGTTTACCCTTTGACAAACAACCTCTGGCTTGCTACTAGGTAGGTAGTAAATGCATAACCATGGGTTGTCAGGTGGACTGAACTTCCTATCATTAACTGGGTGTTGTCTGGCCTAGTTAGCTGTAGGTTAGCTATGGACAGCCGCCATCTATCATCAGGTGAAAATGGCATATGAGACAGAGCCTGGGAAGATCTGGAAAGTGCATGTCCAAGTGACTCCAGATCCTTCAAAAACAACTTCCTGTTGCATTGCCTTGTGTGATCATCAGTTTTCCATTACTGTGACAAATACCTAGGATAATTATCTTGGATAAAGAGAAGGTTTATTTTGGCTCACATTCTGGGAGATTTCAGTCCATGATTGGTTGGCTCCACTGCTTTTGGGTCTGTGTTGAGGGAGCACTTCATGGGGACAGTGTGTGGCAAAATTGTTCTACTCGTGGCTGAGGTATGAGAGAGAAAGAGGAAGGAGATGGAGTCCTTCAAGGGCATGCCCCCACTGTCCAGAAGACCTCCCTCCAGGTCCTACCTATTAAATATTACACCTCCTCTGAATAGTGCCATCATACGTGGACTGTCTTTAACTTATGGATCTTTGGGGGATATTTAGCCAAATTATAGCACCTTGTTTCCTTCAACCCATGTTGAAGGCTTCTTGGTATTTACTTAAACTCATTGATAGAGGAAAAAAACCTCAAGCCTGATTTACAGATGAGTCTACATCATATTTTCATACTGCTTAAGAGTGGAGAGCTGCGGAACTATATATAGTCTTATGCATGGGCAATTGTGAAGTACAGTAGAGATAGAAAATTCCCTCAATAGGCAGAAATTTGAATAGTAGATATGTTTGTCCACTGTGCCTGAAATGAGAGATGGTCCACAGTATTAATCTATATTGGTTGATGGGCAGTTGCTACTGATTTATATGGTCAGGGCCTTGACTGGAAGACTAGTGACAGGGAAGTTTGAGGTTAGATAGTGTGGCCTTTCAAAATGTGCAGACCCTGAAAAAATTTGTGTCCTATTGTAATGCCCACCAAAGGATTTTTACTGGAGAGAAGGCTCTTAATCAAGTTGACAAAATGGCACACTCAGGATGTTGGTCAGACTCCCTATCCAGCTACCTGAGAGTGTGTTCACTGCATCTATGCACAGTGGCCTTAGTGGCAGGAATGGAGGCTAGGTGTGCACGTGCTCAGCAACATTTGACTTTTCTAATGTGTCCTGACTTCTACTGGGTTCCTCATCTTGAATGAACAGCATTGAGCCCCTGGGGTGGATCAGTGAAGCTGAATAGTTAGGGTAGATTATACTGCTTATCAATCTGTTGTTTCTGTCTTCAAGTTGTTGGCCTGTTCCGCAGTAAGGAAGCTGGACCTTGTAAATATTTTTCCTATGCCAACTGGCATGTTAAATCCTGTCAGCAGAGGATACTGAAGGAACACCGAGGGTTAAAGACGGGTTTTCTTTCTAATTTCAGAGATACTCACTTGTCAGGCTCTTTCTGGGCATATTTTTCCTCCCTTGCTCCAGTCCTCACATGGTTTTCTCCAGTGCTGGGTACCTGCAGGGCATGGCTTCCTCTGAAGATGGCAAGCTTCACCCTCTGTATTTTCTCCACAGTTGGATTTGGGCAGTGGTAGTGTGTCCTGGAGCCACTGACATTATGGACCTGCTCCACAGCCCAGGTCACTGCTTGCCAGACATTCTTCCCAGATCCACACATGTGCACACTGGAGGTTCCACTAGATTGGTTGTTGCCCAGGGAGCTGGCTCCCTAACCTTCAATTCCAGAAAGTCAGAGCCATCTTGCTCCCAGCTGCACAAGAAAAGTGCACTTGAGTCCTGCAGAGGACAGCCTCTCAGACTCCAGCAGCCAGCAGTTTTTCTCATCACCTAGCTAGTTCCGGGGTTCTTTGCCCTCTCCATAAATGGCTTTTTCTGAGACTCCTGAGGGCAGATTTTGAGCAATTCCCGCATTTGTTAATTTTGTCACTTTACCCATTCATCTCCTCTTCTTCCCATTCTCTCAACAAGTCGGATTATTTAATTCCATTTCCTGCTCTTCCTTTCTACCTTCTGGTGCTCCTTATCTCTCCAGTACCACCTTTACTGAAACTGAAAAACTTTATAATTTTTCTAGAGCCTAAATTTGATTATAATCTCTTCTTAAAATTCATTCAATTATTTTTATTTCATCCATCTAAAAATTATATGGTGCATTCCAGAGTCACTAGAAGATGTACCAGGTTCTCCATGAACTCCTCTTTACCTGACCTCTGAGCCTCATCTCCTGCCATTTCCCACCTCTGATTTCCACTACTGCTAACCTAAGGGACTGATCATGTCTTTTCTGGCTTCAGTGACTTTACATCTTTCATTCCTTCTCACTTCACCTTTTTGTTCACTTACCTAAAATTTGTTTACTTTTCAAGAGTCTATTCAACATTATCATCCCTGGGAAATTTTCCATAACATTTCTCAGCCCTCCGTGTTGCTTTCACAGACTATGTTCTCAGCTCATATGCCCCTGGTTTGTGATTGCTTGTTGACTTGCTGTGTTTCATATCAGTCTCTGTTTCTTGAACCTATGGGCTATCTTTAGTTTTGTAGCCACAGCCTAGAACAACATTTGATTTTTAAGAAATTACATAAATATAATTGTGTGGTTCTGCAGCTCCTTATATGAAGTTTTCAAACACAGGGAAAAAAAAGAAAAATTTAACAAGTCACTCGATTCTTCACATAAAGTTCTTAAAGCAATTGAAGCTCAGAAACATTGGCATATCACTTTTACCAGAAATATACATCAAAATTTCAGGCATCTTTAGAAGTCAAAGTTTTAATTCCATAGTGAAAAGAACATACATAGGCAGTACAATTAGAAATAGTATATAGAACTAAGTTCATCCTATTTTGTACATTCATCTTAAAATTTCTTGCCAAAGGTCAGAGGAATTCATTTTAGAACTTGATTTTCTTATTTTAAATTTAGTTATAACTTTAGAAAAGAAGCTGAATAGTGTCAAAGTTAGTTTGCACTGCTGTAAAGAACGTTTCCTTAGGATTGGGGTTGTGGCTCAGTGGTAGAGCACTTACCTCTTATGCATGAGGTACTGGGTTCATTCCTCAGCACCGCATAAAAATAAATAAAATAAACAAATTATGTCCATCTAAAACTAAATAAAACTTTTTTAAAAAGAACACTTCCTTTGAAATATGTTTAGGCTTTAGGGACAACAGGTATTTTCCCTTCCCTTTCTCCTGAAAATTAACTTACTGGATATAATTGTGCATATAGTATGCAAGTGACTGAAATTCCTTCACATTACATTTTTTTAAACATTGTGAGGAAAATCAACCTTCACTGTGATTCAGTCTGTCATCATTGTTCTATTTCCTTTCCTTCTTTTGCTTGTGGTGGTTCATACAAGGGTTTAGCAAACTTGTAACCATGTTTTTACAATCAACTGCAGGCAGTATTCCATCAATCCATATTCTGCCTTTGGAATCCTGGAGACCTTCAAGTGAAGATAGTGTATTTTCTTTTTGCTATTAGATTTTGTATTTGTATGAGGTGTTGAAAATAGCTGTTATGTAACAATGAAATTAAATATTCTTAATTTTCTTACCCTTACAGGGAATGTCAGGATTCACAAATACTATCAGGTGAACAAATCTATGAGAATACCAACTTAATTATTGTCAAAGATGCTGCATTACTTTGGCTAGTTGGAGTTCGAAGGTTAAGGGCAAGCTGTATAAAATGAAGCCATTATAGGTATCATCAGCCGGATGCCTGTTAGGAGCTGTCAGTATACCTTGCTTTTCTATGGATTCTCCCCTCCTAGAATTCCTTAATGAAGCTCTTTGACTTCTTGGTTATCTGCTTAATATGTTCTTTTAAAATATTTGTAAAAAATAATCTTATGCAAATAATATAGTAGATGTTACCACCAGAGTTAACAAAAAATATAATTTTTTTTCCAGAGAGAAATTCTTAATGTTTTTCAGCTCCAATGAATTGTAGCTAATTATAACAATTGTTCTCTTTCAAAAGTGTAATTTGATTGAGGGCAGAATATCTTTGTATTCTTGTTAACCATAGAGTACATTGTTTGTAGCTTCAGTTCAGTTGTTTGAATGAATAAATTGTACTATGCCTATAAGGAATGAATAGCTACTAATAACATCTATCATTTCTATTTATAGGTTTTACCATTTAAAGAAACCTTCTTGCCAGCAAATCTATGATAAAAAATATAAGTAACAGAGGAAACAATAGCTATTATTTGTCAAGTAACAAGCATTTAATGTCAGAATGGCTCACCTAAAACGACTAGTAAAATTACATTTTAAAAGACATTACCATAAAAAGTTCTGGAAGCTTGGTGCAGTAATTTTTTTCTTTTTAATAGTTTTGATTTTAATGCAAAGAGAAGTAAGTGTTCAATATTCCAAAGAAGAATCAAGGATGGAAAGAAATATGAAAAACAAGAACAAGGTGTTTGATTTAATGCTAGAAGCTGTAAACAATATTAAAGATGCAATGCCAAAAATGCAAATAGGAGCACCTGTCAGGCAAAACATTGATGTTGGTGAGAGACCCTGTTTGCAAGGATATTATACAGCAGCAGAATTGAAACCTGCTCTTGACCGCCCACCACAAGATTCTAACGCACCTGGTGCTTCTGGCAAAGCATTCAAGACAACCAATTTAAGTATTGAAGAGCAAAAGGAAAAAGAACGTGGGGAAGTAAAACACTGTTTTAATGCTTTTGCAAGTGACAGGATTTCTTTACACCGAGATCTTGGACCTGACACCCGACCTCCTGAGTATGTTGAAGACTATTCATTATTTACTCTTTATTACGAGGGTTTGAAGGGGAGAGGCATTAGCTAAGGCATTTGCTTATTCTTTAGCCACTCTGAGGTGGGAAATCAGCAAATACTGTTTTTTTAATCTTTCATTTTTTTTTTTGTTTATAACTATTAAGGATAGCTACCCATATCTCAGTTTGGTACATAGTACAGACATGAAAAGTTATTAGCTTTTAAATTAGAAGCAGAATTCTAGATCTGACTTCTTTACACAAGGAAATCCTTCATTCTTAAATGCTGTGATTTCCATATCTATTTAGAAGGAAATATTGGACAGTTTTTATAGAAAATGTAGGAGGTTGAGAAAGTTTGTTCACTTCTCTGTGTGCTGCTATAGAAAAGAAATTTTTTAAAAATGTGCCAAGATTTTGTAGCTACTAGATAATATTTTATGGATTTATAAACTAAACCTCAGACTTCATGGCTGCTTTGAATGTTTAACTAGGTTTCAGAATGCCCATTTTTTGGTATGCTTTCTCTTAATGAAGTTATTTTAACAATTATTAGCAAAAATCTTTGTCCATAATTTTTTAAAGTTCTCATATCTATAGGGTTGTTTTTCTTTAGATACTAAGAGGGCAAAACTCATTCAGTCACTTTGTTTACAAGTTTTTCTCAAGCATAGGATATTTTGATTAAAATTTCTCTCTGGGACCTAGTGTGCTTTCTCTGTGTCCTTAGTTTCGTTATCAGTAAGGTAATATTCAAATTTGATATTTTAATTGCAAAGGCCAAAATGAATTTTTGAGAATACTTGATTGGCAAATAGCAATCAAGCAACGGCCACCTATTTTGCTTTCCTGTTATAACAGATTATTTTTGGTTGTGAACCTGAAAGAAAAGGACTTTTGGGCTGGGGATGTGGCTCAAGCGGTAGCGCGCTCGCCTGGCATGCGTGCGGCCCGGGTTCGATCCTCAGCACCACATACAAAGATGTTGTGTCCGCTGAGAACTAAAAAAAATAAATATTAAAATTCTCTCTCTCTCTCTCTCTCTCTCTCTCTCTCTCTCTTTAAAAAAAAAAAAAAGAAAGAAAAGGACTTTTGTGGGCTGGTTTATTGCTTCATTCGGGTTTTTCTAGATTTGTAATGTTGATAACCTGCATCAACTATAGGAGTCCCTTAATGTTGAATTTGTATAGATTAGGCTTCTGTCACTTTGTGGTAATCTGTGTGATCCAAGGTGAAATGATTCATTTTGAAAAGAATGTGAAAAGAAACAAATGAATGACTGTAAAATATTTTGTTATAATATGCATAGCTCCTTTCTCAATAGATTCAAATGCAGTATTACATTTTACTGATTTGGAGAGAGTTCTTGACCAAAAAGCAGTCCATACTAAAAATCAATAAGCATGATTTTTATTCTTTGAAATGTCAATATCAGCTCAAGATGAGCTTTTTTTGTTGTAGTCTTACGAGGCTATAGTAATGTTTGTCACTATTAATTGTTAAGTGAGTAAAAAGCAACTAAGCACATTAAGAGCATTTTATTTTTTGGTTATAATTAAAGGTTTGTTTATTTATTACTTTGGAAAGGATTTTGTGGTGATGGTGAAGATTTAATTGTTTCTTAATTTGAAAGTCACCTATATCCATAAGGAAGGTATTTTCCATTCTCATTCCACATATAGATCTAGTCTTTATTAATATGGATAATCATGTGACTAATTTAACCAAGTTTCTATATGCCCAATTTTTCTAATGGTTAACTAGAAAAATGTAGTCACTTTGATAAATTATTTTTTGCACTATTTTAAATAACATGTGAAATGATTTTTAAAGGATGAATCTAACATAAATTGTTTCAAACTGAATAGAGTTTGTAAAATCACACTGTGGAATTTTATCATTTGTATTAATGGTAAAACATGATTCTTTACTCTGGCTGCTCTGCCTTATTTTTAACTTCTAACTAATATTAGTAGTTATCAGTTAAGCAAATAAATCCCTAGCTTAAACCAAAGAAAATCCTTGTAAGATAAAGTAATAACATTTTATTGGTGTGAATGTTTGTGCACATTTATACTTTATATCTTCAGTTTTTTATAATACTTGATTAATGTTGTATTAACTAACTAACTGCATGGCAAATAAAGTTAGGGAAAAAAATTTAATCCCTAAATTTTACTCTCTCTCTCTCTAAAATGTTTATAAGACAATAAATCATGAAGTGCTTCTTTTCCTTCTTCTTCCTTAAAAAATAAAATACTATTTCATGGAGTTTTTCAGGATTTTTGCTTATTGTTTATGTGGGTTTATAAACCTTTATGTATTAAAATATGAGCTCATATTTAGTCATTTATTTCTGTGTAATTATTATTCAAGAGAATATATGGTTTGTTTTTGAACTTTATTTGTAATTGGTAGTTTATTCAAAATTCAACTCAGAATAAATACCTTGCTTTTACTCTAACAAATGAGGAAAAATGTGGTGCTTTACTTCTGACCATGTGCTTGTGTGGCGCTTTGAAATCGTGGAAGCTCTGGAGAGCCAAACCACTTTCACTCGGCACCACTGTCTCCTTTTCCTCTTCAGTGCTGTTGACACCTCCTCTTTGTATTTCACTCCCAACCTAATTCCTTTCTTATCACTATAAACATCCCACTCTGTGGAACTGCTCTTAGAAAAGGCTAAAGACATTCTCACTCAGGTATGGTTCTAAAGTCACTAATGAGATAATGTGTGGATCCTTTTAGGGTGGCTTTCCCAGGCCTCCACTGTCAGGCTGGAGGCTACAGTGCCCCCCTATCCTTCAGTGGCCCTGGAAAGCAAATGAAGTGTGTTGGGCTCTTATCTCCAAGAGTGAATGGTTTACTTCCTTATCTTTGGTTTTGAGCAGCAGTGTTTGCTTGAGTTCACACACTGTATTCCTAGTGTGGGAGGATTTGACTGGGTAGGAGGATTTTATAGTCTGTTGTCCAAAATTGTACAGCCACATTTGGTATTTAAGTGACTTTAAAGATGCAGTTGCTTTGTTTATCTCTGCCACAGTCCACACATGGTTTGTTTTATGTGCCAGTGTTTTGAAGCCCTCCTCCCGTATGTTAGTCACTTTAACTTCACCTCACTTCAGCGGGCTAGCTGCTGTGATTATCCCCACTTCCATCGCAAAGGCTGGAGGCTGAACATGGCCACTCACACCCAGTGACTTAAATAAAGATTATTTTTTCTGAGGAAATCATTGCTATTAAAATGAATTCAAAATCCATATATAACTGAGGTTGTTAGCTAATGGATAACACCACTAATCAGAATTACTTGGGATTTTTCTCCCTTTGCCTATCACATTGTAGACAGAAGCACTGTCTTATAAAATGGACTTATAAAACGAATTTAGGTCTTTATTTTAAACTCCTGAATATGTCCTGTTAAAAGAAAATTTTTACATGCAAAAGTAGAGTACATTATTGGAGCAAAATCTCTAAAACACATAGGAAATGGTGTTAAGCATATGTCAAATGATGATCTACGTTCGATCTTTAGTTTGTGGTAGGCTGTCTTCCCCTTTTGATTTCATATGTTGATTAAAGTGATTAAATAAACTTGATAAATAAGAAATACATTACATATTTATGAAAGTTTCTAATAACTTTTAAAAATGAGTATTCAATTTAAAAAGTTGCAAATAAGAAAAATGGATGCTTTCAGCAAGAAAATAGGGAATTTTTTTTTTTTTTTTTTACTTGAGCAATTACCAGGATTTTTCATTTTACATGTTTCTTTTTTGGAGGAGGTACCAAGGATGGAATTCAGGGGCACACAGCCACTGAGCCACATCCCCAGCCCTATTTTGTATTTTATTTAGAGACAGGGTCTCACTGAGTTGCTTAGTGCCTTGCTTTTATTGAAACTGACTCTGAACTTGTGATCCTCCTGCCTCGGCCTCCTGAGCCTCCAGGATTACAGGTGTGCTCCACCATCCCTGGCCATGTTGTTTCTTTTATATGTTATTTTTTATTTAAAATGTTATTTGCTTTTAAATATTATACTGTTGAGAGGCATATAATAAGAAATTGTAGTTTGTATCAGTGAACATGATCTCTGGGTGACTAATCTGCTTGTAAAAATATGTTGCTATCCATTTACACTGATGTAGCGTTAAGATTATCTTCCATAGAGAGTATTTGCTGTCTTTTTTTTGTGGTAAAGATTAAATAATGATAATTTTAGCAACAGTATAACTGTGAAGTAAACTAATAAAAGTCTTAATTGCTCTTCAACTTTTTTGGCTTCTTCTAGATGTATTGAACAAAAGTTTAAGCGCTGCCCTCCTCTGCCTACCACCAGCGTCATAATAGTTTTTCATAATGAAGCATGGTCCACACTGCTTAGAACTGTCCACAGTGTGCTCTATTCTTCACCTGCAATTCTGCTGAAGGAAATCATTTTGGTGGATGATGCTAGTGTAGATGGTAAGTGAGTACATGCAAATTAGATCGTTTTCTAAGTAAATCCGTGTGGTGGTGCACAAAGTCTACTTGCTTATATTTGCTTTATGTATGCCATCTAGGAACTGGAATATAATAGTTTGGATGGTGTGTATGATGAATGCAAGTAGAATCCAAGTATGTCCATATTCCAATATTTTGGAGTGCAAAAATATATTAAATGACATTATTCACAACTTTCCAGTTCTCAATGTGTGGCTTTTATTTTAAGGCATAGTGGTTAGGAGCACAGACTTGAACCTGGAGGCAGGTTGCCTTGATTTAAATTCCTGTTTTGATTCTAACCAACTATGTAATTTGGACAAGTTACTTAATCTCTTTGCCTACATTTCTTTATTGATAAAACAAGGATAATATTATATTTATCAAATTTATTATAACATGTCATTAGTTTGTAAACCACTAAAAAGGAAAAAACCCACAGTCAATTAAACTAACATGACAATGATTATAAGAAGTATCTAATTTTGTTGCTGAGAATTAGGGAAATACAGAACTAACACATAATACTATGGTTGTTTTGAAAAATCAATGAGTTAATGTAAGTAACACACCAATTAATAAATAATATAAATCAGTAATTAAAATCAAGAAAGAGTCAATACATCGTGTTTTACTTTGGCTTTTTTTTCAGTGGTGATGTTTAACCTAAATCTCCATGAATGCTAGGTAAACATTTTACCACTGAGCTACATTGTCATCCATTGCCTTTTAAAAATATTGTGATATTATTTTCTAAATTAGCACAATTCTTTAATGCATTTCCACTTAAAATTATAAGTCAGGTACTAAATTACACATTTAAAATTTAAGTCACAAGGGTAATCTAACAAACATTCTAATTTGTTAAATTTTCAAAATAAAAAATACTTTAAGTATCAAACAGATTACCTTAATGACTACAGAATTTACTTCTAAATGAATCCAGGTATGGAGCCAAAATTTTGCAGATCTAATCCCAGCTCATGCACTAAATAGTTGTTTTCTTATCTATAAAATGGAAATAATACTCTTTTATCAAGTCCAAAGCACTATCATTATTTATACCAATATTTCTTACATATGAGAAAAGAAAAAATGCTTACATTCTATCAGTTATAAAATATATCCAGATTTCAGACATGGTAATAAATGAAATTATTAACTTGGCTTATTTCATCATTTTTACATACAATTCTAAATGTTTTTATAATTTCAAAATTAAACATTTTGGTAAAATAGCATTATATTCTCAAGATACATGAATATTTAGGCAGAATAAAGTTATTTAACACCAGAGGTTTTTGGCCTGCATGTGAAACCTCCAACTCTAAAAATTGGAGCTTTATAATTCAAATCCCCTGGATTCAGATTATATGTTAGAGAGCTCTAGTTTTCATCTCTAATACCCTTGACCAGGTTAATTTGCCACTTAACCATGATTCACTGGTTTATTTACTACTGGCTCTGTTCTGGTTCCTTATTCTATCTAGTTGGACTATAGTCCATGGGTTTCAAGAGATGTCTGATTGAGTTCTGCTGACCTGCATGTTTTGCCTTTAGAACAAGAATAACAACAAACTTGATCGTAGAATCTTATTCTTTGGTTTCTTGAATGTTTTCTCTCAGACGACTTTTATTTGGGTTGATTTTCCAAATAGAAAAATAGGGACACGGTAGATTTACTTTTAGTGAGCCTTCATTTGAAGGTACCATTTTTATTTAACTGCACAAAATTTAAAAACTAAAGGAAATCAGAATGAAGAGATACTCATACATAATCTTCCTCCTGTTTCAACCATTTTAATCTTTTCATTTTCTTCTATAATTACATCTAAATAAACATATAATGTTTATCTTATTATATCCATACCATAAATGTGATTTTGAAAGCTGACATTTTCACATAATTTTGTTTATTTTACCTTCAAAACTTTTTTTTCCCATGACAGTGATGGACAGATGTTACTAACCATTCATCTTTCCTTCACACTGTAGCATTACTGTGTCATATGGCAGTGAGTAATATCCTTGAGCCTACATCACTTTCCTTCTTGTGCATTATACCTTTAGATAGTAATTTGGGAGAAATAGGACTGCTTGGTCAAAATATCTGAATATTTTTATAATTCTTTATGACACTTGACAGGAGATATGGGACAGTTTTCTTAGTGAAAGTTATCTTTGCATACTAGTGTCATTTGTCATTAAATCAAAGAACTATCCAATGAATACTACTGTGGGAAATATGTCCCTCTTTGCTGTAAAGGAGCCTGTGAAATTGAAACTAGCCCTTGATTTCAATGTATTTAGAGAAAAGTGCAGAAATATGTAGATAGTCGGGTAATAATAAAATAGTTAAATCCCTTGGAGAGCAAACAAAAGAGCATTTTTAGAACATAAACCATAAATTCAGCCCTATCTTAATGCTGTATTTGTGCATTAATCTCTCATTTTATCCTCCCGTCAGTCTACTGTTGATGAGTCCTATTATCCCCATTTTATAGATAAGAATGTAAGGTACAGAAAAGGTGAACCAGCTTGTCCAAATTCATACAACTAAAAGTGATGGTGCCTGTAAATTGAACCCAGGACATCTGGTCCCATATAGGTTTGTGTGCTTAATCTCCAAAAAGAGAAGTATGGGACTAAAATTAGGGAGTATATAAGAATTTATATAAAATTCAGAATAAATTTTTAAAGTTTTTAGTAAATTCAAACAATGAGAGTCTATACTGAAGGGATTATAGTCACTCCTTTTTAAAATGTCAATTCCCATTAAGATCTTTGAAATTTTATAACTCCTTTAAAGTAGAATATATTTATTATTATATATACATATATATGCATATGTGTGTATATATGTGTGTTTAATTCTACTCTGAGATAATAGTGTTTAGATGGGTTAAGTTTACCATAAAGGCTGTTCATGAAGTCTCATCTCCCTTAAGAATGCTTAAACTTTAAATTAGCATCTCTCTTTTCTGTATCACCTGAGAACTGAAAAGACATATATATTCCCAGATAAAGTCAATGTCATCTGTACTTGCTTCTGAAGTATGGCAGAAGCAAATATCTACCCCAGGATATTATTGACTTTTTTTTTTGTATTTCTAAATCTTTTTGAGGCTGTGGAATAGGCCCAAGAAAACCACTTGAAGAACTACATTATGTACTTAATGAGGAACCAAGAATTTAATGGCAAAAAGAGTAGGCTCAAGATGTTGTTTTAAAATATGAACAGCACTTGATTGACTTGATTAATGGATTTTTCTTTCACCTACTGTCTCAACTTTTGCTTATTATGTATCTCATCCAAATTGTAATATTGAGTACCTCAAATTACATACCCATCATTACAGTTCTGCCTGTTTTTCATTTCCTGATTTACATGCTCCTTTTTACTTCTATATTTTTGCTGGAGAAAAATCTGTCAGGAGACTCCAAAACTTCCAAAATTTTTCTGCTGAGTCTTTGTAGAAATGTTCCCAAAATGCTGTGGCTCTGCTTGCCCTTTTCCTCAACATTCTATTCTTAAATCGTTTTGATCATTGCCTAAATATCAGAAAATCAATCCTTTTGATGCAGGTGATTTTTCATTAAGATTTCCAGATGTAAATGCCAATTTTAAAAATCACTGAATATCTTTTTGACCCAATTCCATTTCTTCTACTCCCATAGTCAGTCTGTCCTGAACTCTGAGTTTGTTTGTTTGTTTAACTCCTGGGGTCCACTCCATTTAAGTCTCTCACTTTCTTCCAAACACACTGTATTTTTTGTTATGAAGTGTTCACAATAAGCATGTGTAATATAATTTTATGTGTTACGTTAGTTGTGATTTGCGCATAGAAACCCCCTCCCCTTTTTCCCAGTAAAGAGTTAAAATAGACTTTTTCATTTTACTGGAAGAAGACATGCAACTATTAATATTATGAATTTGGAGGAGTCATTGTTGTTTCTTTCGTTTTAATATAGTATATATAAATTTAGAAAGCATTAATCCTGATTTTATTTTTCCCTACAGAGTACTTACATGAAAAGTTAGAAGAATATATAAAACAATTTTCTATAGTAAAGATAGTCAGACAAAAAGAAAGGAAAGGTCTGATCACAGCTCGGTTGCTAGGAGCAGCAGTAGCAACAGCTGAGACGCTCACATTTTTAGATGCTCACTGTAAGTATGTGTGTAGATGGAACATCTTCCCTTTCCTTCCCTTCCCTCAAATTTAGAGGTTAATTTTATTTAGCTGTCTAATTGCATTATCTTGAACAACATTTTCAACTGATTATAGCAAAGATAAGGGCTCTGCCTAGGAACTTCACTTATATAGCTTTTAGCTCTTCTGTGTTCAAGTCTCCTCAACTTTAATGTTGCCATGACCAACTTTCCCAGTGAGGTATCCTTCCCTAGGATTCTCCCCCCTCCCCCCATATGCATTCTGTCCAAAAAAGAAAAAAAAATTCCTTGTTATTTTTGAATCCCTACATATTAAAATGAAAATTTATTTAAGTCTAACCAATCCTGTCATTAAACTTTGTCCCAACTGAAACTTTTATACTTCAGTTCTTTTTTAAGACTTATGAACTCCTTCTTATGCCAAGTTATGGGTACCCCTTCCCAATGTCTTTTTCTGTCTCTTCCATGAATATTGTCAGTTTCATCATTTTTTGTTCCTATTAGTTTTTTTCTTTGTATTTTAATATTTTTCAGTGTCAACATTTTGTTTGTATATTTTGCTTTATGTTTTGGTGGTACTGGGATTGAACACAGGGACTTGCTCATGCTAGGAATAAGCACTCTGTCACTGACCTACATCCCTAGCCCATAGTGTCAACATTTTAAAAATATTTAGAAAGTTTACTTGGACCCAAATGTGCAGTGGGCATGATAAATATCAATAAATGTTATTTAGTCACTTGCACTATATACTTAGTGGGTTTTACTTATTATATGAGTGTTAATCTTTGAACTGGCCAGCCTATAGGTTATGTTTGACACAGTAACCGATTTTGAGTATACATTGATTGTTACAGAAGAACTTTTGGGTTTTCTTGAATTATTTAGAGATGTTGTATCCTGTATTCTCTGAATACTGGGCATTTAAAAGATGAAGAGAGATCTAAAGATACCTTTGTAAAGGAAAACACCGTTCTCTAGCATTTCTTCTTCTGATCCAAATTTTAATGTGATCCGACTGGGCATTCTTACTCTTCTGGGGAATATGTCTAATAGCCTTCTGCACAATGACTGCCAAATATTCCTCAATGGGGATCCCAGAATAGAACTGCATAGGTATTGTTTGGCTTTGCTCAGTATGTGGGACAGCCTATCCCATGATGAAAATCTACACCTTTCATGGGACTCCATGACCCCTACTGTCTTGGTCTGGGGCAGATTTGAATGGCTCTTCTTCAACTGCTAAAATCAGAATATTTTGACTCTTTCACTTACTTTTTCTTAAGCCCTACAGAGAGAAATGAAGTTTTCCGAAGGGACAGGTTTAAATTAGAGTACTTTGGGGACTAGATGGAAAGGTTAACTTTGATTCATATCCTCTTTTAAAGGGACACATATCATTTGAAGCTTAAACACATTAGTATCATTTTGCTTCTTCTAGGAGAAAAAGACCATCTGGAGGAAGATTTTCCTAGCCATGCTCAATCTTCCTTTACCCTTTTCATCCTGTTCTCCTCATGAGAGACATTTGGGAAATACTCTCTTTGGGAGATCTATCATACAACATTGTGACTATAGTACGAATATACTGTGTACTTAAATTTGTCAAGATTATATCTTAAATATTCTCACCAAACACGCACATATGAGATGATGGATATTTTAATTAGCTTGATTGTGACAATTATTTCATGAGTATAAATATATCAAAACTTGACATCATAAATACATAAAGTTATTATTTGTCTATTATAGCTTATGAAAGCTGGAAAAAATAAATCACTATTACATACTTGTTCAAAACATAAATTATTTTCTTATTCTCATTTTTCTATAAATTTTCGTGCTAATGACTAAAGGAAAAAACCTTCAGTGTTCTCACTGAATTAACTAAACTTCTGTCTTCTTCAGGTGAGTGTTTCTATGGTTGGTTAGAACCTTTGCTGGCCAGAATAGCTGAGAACAACACTGCGGTGGTGAGTCCAGATATTGCCTCCATAGATATGAACACATTTGAATTCAACAAACCTTCTCCATATGGAGGTAACCATAATCGTGGAAATTTTGACTGGAGCCTTTCATTTGGCTGGGAATCACTTCCTGATCATGAAAAGCGAAGAAGGCAAGATGAAACCTACCCAATTAAGTAAGAGGACTGCTCTCAAAGTCTTATATTCATACTGTAATATCTTATATTAAATATGTATGGACTCTGTATTTGCAGCAGTTGCCCCTGAGGTAATTCATACTAATAAAAGCAAAGAACACAGTTCTGTACATAGAAAATAATAAAGTAATTTACTTAAGCACACACGCATGATATTACTGAATAATAAGTTGGAAGTAAAATTTATCTCATATCTTCCTCATAAATCATCACTTAAGAATATTAAAACAAGTTTAGGAGAAGACACTAACTTTGGAGAAGACACTGAGAACTTATTTTTTTCCCCCAAAAAAAACTTGACTTTAAAGACAGTATGTATAGGAAAAATTTGAAATTGTAATATATACCTTATAAAGTTCTTAAATAAGCTACTTAATTTTGTTTCGTTTTTATAACAAAGTTTGACAATGGATTGTTTTTCAGAACACCCACATTTGCGGGAGGCCTTTTTTCCATATCAAAAGAATATTTTGAGCATATTGGACGTTATGATGAAGAAATGGAAATTTGGGGAGGTGAAAATATAGAAATGTCTTTCAGAGTAAGTTTAGGAGACTAAATACAGCACACATGTTAAACAATGAAATGTGTTATGCTCTACTTGGCTGGTACAGATTGTTATGGATGTATGCAATCTTTACTTCTTTTGCTTTCTAAATTTTAATTGCTGGAAATTTTGAAATAAGAATATTTCCTTTTAAATTGTAACTTGATATATTTATTCATGGTTGCCAATGTAACAAGAGGAATTGGTTAAAATCCCATGTCCAGGCAATAACACCAATTAATGCACTTGTAGCTACTGAATTCCAGCCAAGACAAATATAATTAAACCTAGTGCTTCAGGAAATGAGTTGATTATCAAGGGAGTCTGTGGAAAAACATTTGTGTATACTTTTAAAGTATATTGAACTTAACTCTTTGGATTAAATGAGCTATTTTTTAAAAATATGTGTGTTAAAAGTTAATATGAAAAATCAAAATGAAGATTTTGGATAGTCTCTACATGTATCTTATGTATTCACTTTCATGAGGTTTTTTTTTTTTTTTTTTTTTTTGCTATGACCTTATCATTCATCTATTATCCCTTAGGCTGGAATGTACTGAAAAAAGAAATGAACTAGTTTTAAGTTTGGGCTGTGGGTTCATCACATACTGACAGTGATGATTTTATCCCAGTTTGGACTGCTTAAGGCTAGGGGTCTTGTTTTATTCATTCAGTGTTTTCAGCCCCTAGCCCTTGTATTTCAAGCATAATTTGTCGAATGGAACATATCACTGAGTTTTCTTATTTGTTTAAAGAAGAAAAAAGTGTATGTGATCACTTTCCCTAGTACTAGCATTTACTTTTAAACATGACTTCTTTTCAGATATTTTGCTTGCAATTATTTATGGCAGAACCAATTATTAAGACAGTTGAGTGAAATGTATTCATTTCATGATTTTCTGTTTTATTTGGAATTAGTGCAAATAAGTATAATGACCAACTACTTTACAAATTTACGAGGCCATATTTCAGTAATAATGACTATTTTCAATTGTTTTGCTTTTATATTATCAAATTTAATATATAAAAGATAAAGAGTCAGGGTGCACTTATCCCCAGATTGCTGGCTCATGCCTTAGAAGAGAAGCACTGTGGTTTAAGTGAAGTGACCATGTAAGTTGTATAAGATGGAAGCCAGTGTACAAGAGCCTTTGTTCTTCTGTGTATACTAGAGAACTTGCATGATTGATTGTTTGCAAAAAGTAATTTGGGAATTAATTTTTATGAAAAATCCAAAAATCATTATTTTGTTAACCTACTTTCTGAAGATACACTTTTGTTGTCTTTAGGGTTTATACTGTTTAATAAAATTATTCTTTACATTTACAGAACTTATGTTGAACTGGCAGGGAACAGAGACTATTTGAAATTGCAGTAAACATCTTCTTTGTTTTGTTTTTATTAATATGTTAAAGGTGAATTTAAAAGCAACACTTTGATTTTTCCCAAAATACTGTAAATTTAAACAAATATCATTAATTATCAGGTATGGCAATGTGGTGGGCAGTTGGAGATTATGCCTTGCTCTGTTGTTGGACATGTTTTTCGCAGCAAAAGCCCTCATACCTTTCCAAAAGGCACTCAGGTGATTGCTCGCAACCAAGTTCGCCTTGCAGAAGTCTGGATGGATGAATATAAGGAGATATTTTATAGGAGAAACACAGATGCAGCAAAAATTGTTAAACAAGTAAGTTAAAGCTAAATTATTATGTTATGATAAAAAAAACCTATACCAATGTCTCATATTCTTTTGCTTGATTGCCTCAAGTACAAAACATTTTGTCAAAATTATTTTTGAAGCTACAATTTTAACTCTTAAAATGTGTAACTGAAGGATGATCATTTTCTCTTTTAAGAAAAAATATTAAGCAAACTACTTTTCAAAATTTCAGACATTCTGCTTGATATTATCATTTTTCATTTGAAAGATATTTTTGTGACAATCTTGTTTCAGTATTTTGCTTTTAAAAATTAGATTAAGTAAAAGTGCTTTTTACTGGTTTTGGGGGATGTGATCGACAACTAAATATTGGTTTTAAGTGCTTTTTCAAACTGAAGGTAGAAAAGATGTCTCAGTGTGGTGCAAAGATGGACAGGTATATCAAGCCTTTTCCCCTTGAAGTTTCAGTTCTGCTACTCTCTGGAGGTGTACCTTGGCAGAGCCCCTTTAGGAACATACGGTGGGGATGGCACTTCATAGAGTGGTGTCTGGGAGCTGTGAGTGTGTGACAGGTCTTTTCCTTTCTCCTTGCCTGACTTAAGGGATGGAATACATGCCTTGGCTCTTCCCCAGAGTAGCTGTGAAATAAGAATATGATAACAAACATACAGTGACCCTGTCTCTAACCTGTCAGAGATCACCTAGTCAGCAAAAACATAATGCTTAGCACATTAGAGCTGAGTTCCATCTACATGAACAGCAGTATGAAAGCACTGGGTGTGGTATAAATTAACCAGACAGTTTCAGAACATGCTTCAGTAAATGGCACCCGAGCCTGTCTTTGTAGGAAACAGCTCTAATTTGAGGTGGTGGTGGTATTTATTGGGAGTCAAGGACATCAACATTTTGAGTGGTAGTAAAGAAAGATTTGGTTAACTGTATGTTCTCGTTGTTCTCTGATGTCTCCCTGTAACATGTCAGTAAGATGCAAATTCAGAGCACTACTGGGTTAGACTGCAATCTTTTTAACTCAAGACCACTAAGACAAATTAGGTAGATTATGTACTGCACAAGATTACTTGGCTAAAGCAGCAAGTGGATGCTAACTAAATGAAGCTCTGCTTGTCACCCACAGAGGGGTGAGTGAGCCATTAGGCACCTCTTCTTGCCATAAAGCACATAAATCTACTTGAGCTAAGCAGAATCCTTAAGAGTCATACATTTTGTCAAACCCTGAGTTCATGACATTGAAGTTGGGATAAGAAAATATTTTCCTTTGTTGAAATGATAAGTTGAGTATTTAGTATTTACTTTTTTGTCATACAGTTAGATATCAAACATAATTTATCTGTGAAAATTTGCCTATTAGGCAAATACATATTTAGTTTAATGATGTTTTCAAAAGAAAGTTCTCTTTTTCTACTAAAAGCCTAGTTTGGAATATTAAGAGTAAGGCTCTTACACTAGAAAAAACAAACGTATTCCCAATTGTGCTGTTTTGTAGTGGTTGTTTTTGTGTTCTTGACAAGGGAATGGAAGTTACACTGTGTATACTGTTTATGTACTCCTACTTTCTCTCACCTTGCTCTACAGACAACTAAGTGTAAAGTTGGGATTAATTTAGAATGCTCCCACTGCCACTCCTGTGCCCACAGAATTTCAGTAGAGATCTTTGTACTGTAGAAAGAAGTTTGTGGCACAAATGAAGAATGAAATACTGTCTGGTCAGCACTACAATGATACTTGATTCTCCTTGAAGCCAGGAAGGATTGGGCAGGCATGCTCATTGCCTAAATGAATGGCAAATGCTGTTAAGATGTGTCTTGTATTTTGGACCACAATTTTATTTTTTTCTTCCTAAATATAAACACAAACAGGAGCTTTGAAGTCCATTAGTAGAGCTATTTTGATGAAGCATTCCTTCATTTCTCATCCTTCTCTAGAAATCGTTCGGTGATCTTTCAAAAAGATTTGAAATAAAAAACCGCCTTCAGTGTAAGAACTTTACATGGTATCTGAAAACTATTTATCCAGAAGTGTATGTGCCAGACCTTAATCCTGTTATATCTGGATATGTAAGTATTTTCCTGTTCCTTTACTCCTTGCCACTAATATTTATGTGGTTTAGGGAAAAATGTTGGAATACTTTTTGGTATATTCCTTTTGAGAGTTTACATTTACATTTACAATTTTACAACATTACTTCCTAGGGAATTAATTGGAAAATGTAAACTACATAGATTAATTTTTTATGATTTGAAATTTTCCCTTTAGATTAAAAGTGTTAGTCAGCCTCTGTGCCTGGATGTTGGAGAAAATAATCAAGGAGGCAAACCATTGATTCTGTACACATGTCATGGACTTGGGGGAAACCAGGTGAGTGTCAGAAATCTTACCTTCTCACTAGCAACTACAGATACAAGTAAGATGTTACTTATTTTTCAGATGTCCTAACTCATCTTTTTTTATTCCAGTAAGCTAGTGTGTGACATATTTTTAGACTGAGACTGATGACTGATACTGAAGTTGTAAAGTATTTTGCCTTGGTTTCCAATCTGGCTCTGAAAATAATTCGAAGTTGCTTACCCACTCAGTAAAAAGAAAAATGGGAAAATAGCAGAGTACATGCCTTTAGAAATGTTTAGAACATGATCTTTTATATATATTTTTAATGTTTTTGTGACTCTTGACATGGTGATTTAACAAGATTACAAATAAGCCCATGTTTAATGGGATTTAATAGCAAATTATATCCAGTGGTAATAACAACACAGCTACATTGTAAGCTCTTTTTGTGGGCCATGATATTATTTCAGTAACACCCTCTGCTCCCCCAAAATGTATGTTATTTGTTCACTTTAGTCAGATCCCGGCTTGTTACCATCTATCTTACCAGTTAATACTAAAATGCTAAATGTTACTATCTAGCTCTATGGGTAGGTAACATATTACATATTAAGTTTCTGTATTTTATCTTCCTTTCTTTACCATTTTCAAGTTAACTCCCAGAAGGATTAAATTCTCTCTCTCTCGTTTATCATTAATCAAATTCACTGAGTGACCCCTGCATGCCAGATACTCTGAGGGGCTTAAAACCATTTAGATTCTAACTCCTTCAGGAATCCCCTTTCAAAACTGGCAGCTATAGTCAGTATGAAGGGTTTGAGATAAAGCATTCGGAGTGCTGTGGGGTTTGAATTAGACTGGGTACTCATACATTTTCCTGGGAAAGATGACACTGGAAACATGTTTTTGAAGGGTAAGTAGGAAAAAGATAGGTAGCTGGTAGAAATGAGAACAAAATGAAGAATGTGAAGAGAGATTTAATAAGAAGTGGAGCCTGGAATGTGTGTTTTCTGGGAACAGAAGGTATTTTGATGTAGAGTCCAGGCTATGTGGTTAGGAGTTTTACAGTATTAAGTACTCATAATATGTAACTGAAGTTTTCAGTTTTAGGAAGAAAGGGTCAATTTATCTCCTGTTCTATTTTCTTCCATACATCTTTCTAATCATTGGGCTTTGCTTAATCCAGTTTTGATCTTTTTTCACCTGAAGTAATCAATCCACTGAGGGTAGATTATATAGATACCAGAAGCCAGTGCCAGTGAACTGGATCTATCACTGTATGGTCAAGGGGTAATTGTGCTAACCCATATTACCTTTAGAATGTCAACATTATTCAGTATTTGCTCTATAATGGGTGTTCTAAATAGATACATCAGCTAATCACACACACAATTTCAATAGTATACTATAGAAAGTAATCTCTAATGTATGTGGGTATGTGGAAGCCTTGAAAAGGTGAAATTTTGTACAATAGGACAAATTCAGGGAGTGCCAAAGAGGGAAGGTAATATTCTAGTTGGTTGCTGAAGGATGAAAAGGAGTCAGGCAGGCAGAAAAGGGTCAGAAGGGCTTTCCAGACATCAGCACAGATTGCAAAGCAAAGCCACAGGTTATGGACGCATGTATTCTGCACTGGTAGAGTTGCATGACAGGAGCAGAGTATACCACTGGGACAATCATTGATGCAAGATTGAAAATTGGCCATTTCAGGCACCAATTAAGGAAGATGGAGTTTATCTTAGCAACAGCAGTAATGCACTTAAGCTGGGCCAGTAGGGGATCAGACCACTGCTATGAAAGACCAACTGACAGCAGGTAGGACTGCTGCATTGCAGGATGAGAAATTGGAGGTAGCTGGAGGCATTGCAGTATAAATTTTTATGGTCTAAGAAAGAAAAGAATACAACAGTAAGAATGGACAGGATGATAACATCTGAGAGGAAAACTCAGAGACTAATTAATTGGGTGCATCAATAATAGTAACAACAGCTTAAAGTGAATCAGCTGCTTACCACTTCATAGTCTTTGTTCTAATCCATTTATCTTCATAATCCTGTGGGAGGAACTCTTAAGTTACCCACTTTACAGTTGAGGAAACAGATACAGAGTGCCTGTAGTTTCTAATTTAGTGCAACTTTGATTGAGATGAAGGAGTGAAGGAAAATTTTGAGGAGAGAAGACCAGTCAAGGACTTGATGGAGCTTCAGAGGCCCTTTTCTGCAGTGTGCCTGCCTGTGCTAGTCCAGCTCTACCTGATAACTTAGTTTCTGGTGTGGAGAGAAACACCTTGTTCATTAAGTAACCACTGTTGATGATAGACTGAAGGAGGACTATAGTATCTCCTCTCATAAATGCTCAGCTTATGTTTCTGATAACTTCTTAGTGTAATATTTTGTTGGGGGGCATGCCTTCATTATTCCTTGAGTGGCTAATTTTGTTTTGCAACCAAACAAACACACCAGGTACTTTTATCAGTAACGGCACCCTTTTTCCACAGTACTTTGAATATTCGGTGCAGCGTGAAATCCGGCATAACATCCAGAAGGAACTGTGTCTTCATGCTGTCCAAGGCATCGTTCAGCTACAGGCATGTGCCTATAAAGGTCACAAGACAGTTGCTGCTGGAGAACAGATATGGGAGATCCAGAAGGTACCTCAATGCAGTTAATTCACCCACTACTTTATGATTTTGATGAGCTCTAATTGCTTATCTAGGAAAATGCATGAAATATAGTTAGTTCATTGTTATCCATTAGAACTTTTCTGCCTTTATTAACTTTCTTATATGTTTCTACCCATGTGATAAGAGAATATACCTATGAATTAAGTACTCCTAGGAACAAAATAATCATAAAGTTGCTTGATTAAAGCATAGTTTATGTATCTCAAGATCTTCTGTGAATTATTAAAAACAGTTACTCCATTTTTATGTTTTAGGGTTTCTTACAATACTTTTTGCAGCAGTCACTATTTTTCTTGGCATGCATAGAAAAAAATGTTCATATTTTAATGTGAAGTGATTAATTTTTCTTCTCCATTTTAGTACTTTTTCATTAATGTAGGATTGAGACATGACAAATCTCTTGTTTTAAAACACATCTTAAGGTTTGGCTAGACTATACCACCACTTAACTAAAAAAAAATATTTAGTGCAATACCAGAATATTGTAAGACTGGCTTTTATGATTTATGATTTTTAGGAGTTTTCTCATTTATATATATATATATATATAAATAAACTCAGTGGATTGTTTTTTGCTTGAAAACTTGATTCAGACCTTGCTCTGTGTACCTCTCTTTTCATTTAATGCCTTATATTAGTTGATCAGTAGTGGTATGCAGTGTTGTTTACATCAGAAACCCATCATATTTTATCAAACATGATTCATCTTAGGCAGATTTAAAGTTAAGAAAGATATACATTTGGAATGCAATTCTCCCTTTAGCTTTAATAAGACCATAATGTCATGTTGGTATTTATCACTTAGCTAGAGTCTTGAAACTTAACGTCTGTTGTGTTTTCTTTTATTGCAGGATCAACTTCTATATAATCCATTCTTTAAAATGTGCCTTTCAGCAAATGGAGAGCATCCGAGTTTAGTGTTATGCAATCCATCAGATATACTCCAAAAATGGATTTTTAACCAAAATGATTAAGTGTTCCTTAAAATTAAGGAGTTGAAAAGGAGATATTTTTTCTCATAAAACTGTGACTAGGCATACACTGTAGTTTTTGAAAATTATGCAAAAGCAGCTAATTGTAACTTATTTCCAAGTGCATTTTTCTTATTTATATTCTAAAATGTCTATGTAGCACTGCTACAGAAATCCCATAATTCTCTTTCAAAGCGCAATAGCTAGTGATACCAAAGATTATTGTCCAGATATAGAAGAAATGTTTACAGTGTGATGAAAATAATCTTCCTAGGAGAGTGATGTTTGTGTTCTGTACACTTGAGTGTCTGCATAGCTACATTCACACACTCAAGACTTAAAATATTTCCCCTAGTTTTGTGGGGTGATGGAGAAAACTTTGATACTGTATTTTTATAACTACATAGAAATGGATCAATGAAGGCCAAACATTGGCCTTTGTATGCAAACCAGGAACTTTTTGTAGATCTAGAATTTGTAGATCTATTATTTTAAAATGCAGGTAAAATGTTTCTGTCTTTGGTTACTTATCTGTCAAAAATAGTACATGAATTTGAATAAGGAGAAAAATATTTTTAACACTTAAATTTCTGGGCAAATTTAAAACTATTTTGTAATCTGAAGTCTACTCCACCGGATGCACTTAAGTCTTCCCTAAATAGCTTTTCCTAAGTAACTATACTGTGTGTTTTCCCATTGTAATTTTAAAAAACTTCACAGATTATTATATGTTGATAAGGTGTCCTTTTCCTTCCTACTAGTCTTTTTTTATGTTACCAAAAAACACTAATCTTGAAGATTCATGATATTGAATTTCAAATGCAAAATACTTGACTGACTTAATGCTAAATTTTATGTTATTGATTTATTATAGATTGTTTTTGTAATGGATTTTTTTGTCAAAAGAGCCTTATTTTTATCTATGTGGAAAACACAATAAAATATCCAAAACACTATTGTAATCACTTGTTTAAGTTTTTTTCCTTTTCTAGATAAAATATGTAATTGACAGAAGGCAGGGGGACAAAAGAATTTTGTATACTGAATTTCTAGGCCCCTATTATTTGTAGAGCCATCAGATTTTCTTAAGAAAAGTTCAAATTTTTGATGGGATTGGCATAAAAATTGGAGAATGGAGAAAATGGTATGTTAAGTATTTAGAAAAATTTACATGAATTTTTGATAACTTTGAACATCCAATAAATGATGTTTTTTAAAATATTTCATGCTTACTTAAGACATGAAACACTTTTTTCTTTTTGATAATTTTATATAGAGATATCTTATATTCTTATTCTACAGGTGGAATTTGATTGGCTTTGTATTTTAGGTGGTTGGCAGCCAGGCAGAGAATCAATTGTACAAAAGAAAACACTTCTTGATTATGGGTTCCATCTTCTCATTTATAACTTTAAACTTGCATGAAAGTCCTGCACTATTTGATTACAATGCCACCTTTTATTTCAGTTCAGCTAGCACTTATTATTGTGTGTCTAACTTGGATCAGGAGTAAACATAGCACGTCTTGTCTTTGCCTTTGAGCTCTGCCTCCTGGGGCAAAAATAAATAATTCTGAAATAGTGAGTGCCAGTATGAAGTTACATTTTATGATGCAAATGGCAGCTCTCTATTCATATTTGATATTTCATTAATAAGCAAATATATTTGTCTATTATAGCTCATAATAATCTATGTTGTTAAATGAGTAGTAGGGCCCACTTACATGTGCAATTTTTATTTCTCTGTTGGTTATATTAGACATAAACATCCACTGCCAAATGCTTCTTATAAAGCTTGTTATGTCTCCAGAAATAATACAAAAAAACCCACAATTTTTCAAAGATATCTTATAAATGAACTTAAGTGTGTTTAGAACAACAAAACCAACTGAGTCCTTCCATGTACCAGTCATATGTTGTCATATTGTGATCCAACTGAAATCTATTTAGATTAGTTGGTTTTATTACGGCTGAGTTGAATGCATCCACAGGGAAAGTTCTTACCTGATATGGGAGCCTCAGGCTGTTGCTCAAGTGTCATATCAGTAATTTCATTAAAGATTGGCCCTTTGGGGTGGGTAGTGGCCTTTTTTAAAAGTTTGAGTTTTGAACAGTGTTAACAGGGAGTTATTTATGGAGCCTGGCTGCCATCCACCTGAACAATTTGAATGTACTCAAGTGTGAAATTGTGGAACTCTTGCTCAATTTGAAGCTGCCATGGCAAATGGTCTAGTTGCTACAGAAGATCTGGCATGTTGCCTTCATTCCAGAGCACCAAGTCCTCAGATCTCTGGGTGAGTAAGAGGCACTGCCAAACCTGCTCGGGTCAACCTGATGGGCAGTCTCACTGAAAGCTGAAATGTGACTACACAAAAAGCCTTAAGATAAAATAAGCTATATGATAAAATTGGCTATTACTATGATCAGTTATGATATATTTTAGGTTCCTTTATTACTAGAGAATGGTCTTCATAGTTAAATAACAAAATACTATGTAAACCATCAAAACATAAGTGCAGCCAGGTGCCATAGGCTGAGCCAGGAGGATTGCAAGTTTGGGGTCAGCCTCAACAACTTAACTCGCAGCAATTTAAACCCTATCTCAAAGTAAAAACTTAAAATAGAAAGGTCTGGGGATTTAGCTCAGTGGTAAAGCACCCTGGTTCAATCTCCAGTTACCTCCCCACCCCCCAAAAAACGCAAAAAGGAAGGGAACTGCTATTTCTGATAAAATACATTTGAATAAGTTTGAATTTGACTTTTTAATTGAAATAAAAAACTTAGTGAGATTCTGAACTGAAATTGCTTTACAATTCACTTTAACAAAAACAAAAATAAATGCATCTTTAATACAGGAAAGATGTAAATTATAAATGATTCTTAAACTTTATTGTACACACCTGGAGAGCTTATTAAAATGCAAATTCTAATGTATTAAGCCTGAGCGGAACTGATAATTCTGTATTTCTAATATGCTCTCAAGTAACATCAAGGGTTTGGTTCTGGAACCACATTTTGCTGCCCTCTGAATCAGTGCCTTAGCTTCTTTGAGACTACAGTGATTCCTACCATGTTTTGTATTCCTTATTACTTTAGGTATCACTGTAAGTTAATACCTATCATTCTTTATTGTCATTATGGTTTCCTGGCAGTTCCTACATCCTTTGCATACACTTAATTTGATAATTCCACTACTACAGACAACAACAAAAAAATAAGTCTTATAAAGCCTCATATGACATTTACATTCCAGTGTACCCTTACACTTAAATAATAAGCGTAGTAAGTATAGATTTCTTGGTTGGAAATAAATATGTTGAAGGCCTGACTCCATCATTTTCTAAATCACAGTATTGAAAACTCTAATCCATTGATGATTCTTGATTCTTGGTTACTGATCATTATTTTTTTTTCTCTCTCTAAGTACTCACAGATCTTCTCTTTGCCCCAATATTCTGAAATTTCACAGGAAGTTTCCTAGTAGTACCCACATTACTATGCTCTTTAAGTACCCATGTCTTTAAATTCTGGAAAAAAAAATTCAAATAGTTCTTAATTCTGTCTCTTTTGTATTCTCAGTATCTTTCTGGAAATCTTATTATATCGGCCCCCAAATATGTTGATTTACTATTCCGTTTGGGGTGGGTAACTTTTCTCACCAATCTTCCATATCTTTGTCTTCTATTCCTATTTTCTAGGAAAGAAAATAAGATGTTTTACATTTTTTTCTCTAAGCCTTCTACCAAGTCTTATGTTTATATCATTTATAATTTCCAAGATCTCATTCTTATTTTCATAGTGCTTCTTGTATACTACTTTGCTATTATATGGACATATCTTTCTTATCTTTCTAAGGATTTTAATGGTTATTTTCTTTGTCCTAACTCTCCGTCTACTTTCATAGTCTGTTTTCTCCAGACTGGTTTTTGTTTGTTTGTTTGTTTTTCTTCTATTGGGTTTACTCTCTGCATTTCATAATGGATCCATTTTTCAAATGTCTTGTGATTGTTCATTGACTAACAGAGGGGCCTAGCCTACTTGGTAAATCTTCTTAGATTCTCATAGTGTGGGCAGAGCTTTGTTGACTGTCGTCTTCCCTACATAGTGACCAGATTGGGTCTCTTGTACTGCAAAACTAAATGACAGGTTAAATCCCCAGAGAAGAATCTTCCAGTCTCCTGCCTAGTGGGTATAAGCCTACTGTCATTGAACTGGGATTCATTTTCAGTATGTGACTATTAGCCTCCATTATGCTGCTGTCCCATGCTCTAGAGAACATGCTTTAACCTCTCTGGTGAGAGAATGTCTAGGTTTATGCTTAATGCAGAAGACTGAGGGTCTACCAGTCTATTTATCAGTAAATAGACTGGTAAGCTAGTCATCCTGCCCAAACACCCCACTCTCTCCCTCACCGGGTACCACCAATTCCTCATCCTCTCTCAGGTTGTGCAGTGTGAAATCAATTTCTGCTCTTCTTTCTCCACTGCTGACTGTGGATTCCTTGTCAGCACTCACTGCTGATTTGCTTCCTGGGCTTCACTATGGTATGGTCATCAAACTTCTCCTGTTCTTTCTCCCTATGGATCTGTCAATTTCTCCATGTATCTTCATGTATTTTGGAAAGGAAAAATAAAACTTGAGAGTAGGATCTGGTATTCTTGATGGAAAATCTCCACTCATTCTTCAGTGACCTCCTTCTACTGTCATTAACAACTTCCAAGTTGCCACATCCCGTACCCCTACCTGTTCTCATTTATGTAAGCTCTGCAGCATTTGAAACTGACTACAAGTTCACTAAATTTGTGGAACTCTCATGAGTCACAGCACTGCAAGTTTACATCTCTGTCCTGCTTCAAGCCATCATTATATCTCATGGGTAGCAGTTAATCTTGTAGCTAACCTCACTGCTTCTTGGCCATTCCTTTAGCTGATATATTTTTAAAGGCAACTCAAGTTAACTTTTTAAATTAAAAATAAATAAATAAAATGTACATTGTTCACTTACTTTTGTAACCTTCCAGTAGCTCCCAATTATTCCTAAAATAAAATTCACTCTCCTGGCTACAGCCTCCACAGCTGCGCAACTCATCAGCCCGCGGCATGTATTTCCCCTACCTCCTCTAGGGCCACTTTTCCTCTGGTTCATTGTGCTCCAGGCTCAGCAGTTGCTTTCTGTATTTGTCTCCTATGTCAACTTTGTTCTTGCTTCAGAACCTGTACTTTCTTTGTCTGGATTCTCCTTGTAACAATGTGTTTTACACTTTTCAGTTCTCAGCTCAAATAATGTTCTCAGAAAAGACCTTTCCTTTATAAATTAACCCAATCATCACTGAATCTCCATGTTTATTTCCTTGATGATATTTGCCACTACCTGAAGTTATTGTCTTATTTTATGTGTGCACTTGTCTTTCATCTCCACTAAAGTCACCTTCATGAACACAAGATAAGAAACAATGACATCCACACCACATTACAATTTAGGTAGATTAAGTGTGTCTTTTATACAAACCAACTGCATTTGTTTAAAGATGCTAATATTAAGCACAGAAGGGATGCCAAATGGATTGAGGAGTGATGAGGATTGGATTGAAGAATGAAGAGGTAAAATGGTTAAAAAAAAAAAAAAGAATAACAAAAACACAAATTTTTCTTGGACTGATGAACAACTTTCAAAATTTTTGAATGGATGCATTATTTCTTCAAAAGTTGTAATGAAATACATAGATTTAATTACGAATCCAAAAGGATAAGAATAATGGAACAAAAATAAATGAAGCACTAGTTCACAAAACAAATATTGAGTCCATGGGAATTCATTAGCTGAAGTGTTAATATAGGTAAAAATGTTAAATAGCTCTAAAATAGAGTCAGCAAAATTGATGGCTGAGAAATTCAGTTAATAGGAAAGGTAGGATGTTTAGCATGTCTCCAAGCCTTTCAGAGTAATGCAGCAGATGACAGCA